CTGGGCAATCTGGTGAGACCTCATCTCCACAATAAATAAAAAATTAGCTGGGTGTGGTAGTGCGTACCTGTAGTTCCAGCTATTTGGAAGGCTGAGACGGAAGGATTGCCAGAGCCCAGCAGGTCGAGGCTGTGGTGGCCAGGAGCGGCCACTGTACTCCCATCTGGGCGACAGAGTGAGACTCCAACTCAAAACAAAAAACAAACAAACAAAAACACTTGTGGTAATGTACCGTGACTGTCTCTAAGAAAACTCTTGTACAGTTGTTTGAGTTTTGAGTTAAACTAGCCATTTTTTTCTTAGAACACCATTTTTACATGAAGTAATGACATGCTTATTTAGCATTTTCGGCATGGGTGTTTGGCACTTTCTTGAAAATAAATTGAGCCTGTCACTCTAAAGAAAACAGTTGACAGCATTTGTTGCTTAAATCTGGTAACAGTTGACAGCATTTGTTGCTTAAATCTGGTAAAATTCTAACTTTTAAATGAAAATTAGAATTTTGAACCGGGCATGGTGGCTCAAGCCTATAATCCCAGCACTTTGGGAGGCCAAGGCAAGAGAATTGCCTAAGCCTAGGAGTTTGAGACCAACCTAGGCAACTTGACGAGACCTCATCTCTACAATAAATCCCAAAAATAAGTGGGTGTAGTTTCATGTACCTGTAGTTCCAGCTACTTGGAAGGCTGAGGCAGAAGGATTGCCTGAGCCCATTAGGTTGAGGCTGTGGTGGCTGTGAGCATGCTACTGCACTCCAGCCTGGGCAACAGGGTGAGGCTCCAACTCAAAAAAGGAATATTAGAATCTTGGAAATTTTATACCCAACTCTGGGAGAGTGACTGAAAATATTCTGATGAGATTTGTGGTGATATTCTTGAATGTGATTTTTTTTTTCTCCCTCCCTCTTGAATGTGATTTTTAAAATACTGTCAACATTTGTAAGATCTATGACTTGGTGGACTAGTATTTCTCAAATAACCAACGTCTGATGTTTCAAAACAGTGCATGAATAAAAGTTCCATTATGTGCAAGACCCATTAAAAAATTTCAATATAATAGTACAAAAAGTCTATTGGTATGGTTTCAGATTCTACATTAAAACTAACTTTTAGCCGGGCTCAATGGCTCAGCCTGTAATCCCGCGCTTTGGGAGGCTGAGGTGAGTGGATGGTCTGAGCCCGCGAGTTCGAGACCTGCCAGGGCAACTTGGCGAGACCTCATCTCTACAATAAATCAAAAAATTAGCTGGACGTGGTAGCGCGCGCCTGTAGTTCCAGCTACTTGGAAGGCTGAGGTGGAAGGATTGTCGGAGCCCAGCAGGTCAAGGCTGCGGTGGCCGGGAGCGGCCACTGCACTCCAGTCTGGGTGACAGAGTGAGACTCCAACTCAAAAAAAAAAAAAAACCAAAAACTAACTTTTAAGAAACCTCTGCTTTTTGAGTTTTAATGTGGTGTCAAAGGAGAGTATCTGTGAAAAGACTGTTTAAATATTTTCCCTTTCTGCCTGTACCTCTGTGTGAGGCTGGGTTTGCTATACTTTAAACAAACAGCATACTGCAAGAGATGGGATTGAGAAGCCGGTGGGAGAGCCAGCTGTCTGTACTCTTGAGTTAGACAGTAAGGAGATTTTCAGAAGTAGAAAATAATGTCATCTTTCCCATTATCTTTTTTGGTTTTGGAAAATGTAATTTTTTTTTGTAAAAATATGTTAGCTTTAACAGGTAATGGTTTTATTATTTTTTAATGAACAGATTTTTTTAATGTCTTGATTTTAATTTCTGATACAGTCAATACATTGATAAATGTAACCCATAAGAAACAAAAGCTCTTTCGGGGTCTCTAATTTTTAAGTGTCTAAGGCAGCCCTGAGATAAATATATGAGAACTACTGATTTAATCATTCCATACTGATGGATTTTAAAGTTTTGTCCAGTTTTTTATATTATAAACATTACTGCTGTGTCCTTTTGTTCAGTGCACCTTTGTGTGTTTCAGTAGGATAAATTCCTAGAAGTAGAAATACTGTATTAAATGACAAGCACACACTTGTTTTTAGAGGTCAACACGGTGGTTGCACTGATTTCCCATAGACCATGGATGAAGTTAAACTGTGGCTAGTCCACAGTTTAAGACAGTTGTGCTATAGTTTCATGTTTTGCACTTTTCAAAATCATTAGTATAATTAGGCATCTTTTAGTCAAATTAGTCATTTGACTTTTTTACTTTGTAAATCATCTTTATATGTACTTTATTGTTTTTGATGTGTTGGTCATCTTTTTTCACTGATTTGGAATAGCTCTTAGGAAAAAGTAGCTTCTGACAGTCATACTGCTGACAATATTTTTCTCAGTTTCTCTTATGTTATTTTTTTCTTTTCAGTTTCTTTTTATTTTATGAGATTTAAAATGCCAAAGGGAAATTTTATTTTTTCTTTCATGTTGCTCTATTCCTTTCCATTATGACTTTTGGGTTTTATGTTATATGTTCTCACCTACTACAAATTATTGAAAATATCTGTATTTTCTTAACCAGTTTGACTTAAACTCATCCTAGATGTGTGACAGCTCAGTTTTAGTACTGATCTAAATAAGAACTATACCTGGGTATCCTGGAAACTTGAGGAGAATGCACAGGTGGTGGATCAGTGCAGGGATACAATATGTCTCATACCCTACTTCTTAACCCCTGATAGTGATGCTTTCCTTTGTCTGTTGTTTTTCTGCAGTTGAGGAAACGTGTGAAGCTTGAAGGGAAGGAACTTGAGGAATACTTGGAAAAAGAGAAGCTAAAGAAAGAAGCTGCTAAGAAACTCGAGCAGTCCAAAGAGTGAGTCATTTCCAGCAGATTCTAAGCCTATATAAGCTGTTTGCATGGAAGTTTATTGCTTAGCTGTGTGAAAGGTTTAAAAAGATAATCAAGACTTTTCTCCCACTTAAAGAGAAGAAAGTATTTCTAAGACTTAAGAGTTTCACTGAAAATATTTAAGTTTTCATAGCACTTAATGACTTTTGTTAGACATCTTTCAAATGGCTAGAATACTAAATCCTTCCAGTGCTAATATTATCATATATTTATTTATTGGCAGTTCATGTTCTATTTTTAGAAATATTGATCCAGTAATATTGAGTATTATTCCACTTATGTGTCGTTTAACGACAGGGATATGTTCTGAGAAACGTGTTGTTTGGTGATTTGTCCTCGTGTGAATGCCATGGACCTGCATGGTCCAGCCTATTATGCACCCTAGTATTATGGTAGAGCCTGTTGCTCCCAGGCCACAAGCCTGTATAGCATGTGACTGTACTGAACATTATGGGTTACTGTAATCCGAAGGTAAGTATTTTTGTGTCTAAACATATAGAAACATAGAACAGGTATAGTAAAAATACAGGGGTTTTTTTTGTTTGTTTTTTTGAGTTGGAGTCTCACTCTGTTGCTCACTCTGGAGTGCCATGGCATGCTCACAGCCACAGCAGCCTCGACCTTCTGGGCTCAGGTGATCCTTCTGCCTCAGCCCTCCAAGTAGCTGGAACCACAGGCATGTGCCACCATACCTGGCTAATTTTTTGATTTATTATAAAGACAGGGTCTCACCATGTTTCTCAGGCTGGTCTCGAAACCCTGAGTTCAGGCAGTCTTCTTGCCTTTGTCTCCCAAAGTGCTGGTATTACAGGGATGAGTCATTGCGCCCAGCAGAAAAATACAGTATTATACTCAATGGGATCACTGTTAAGATGTGATCCATCAGTGACCAGAACATTGCGGCATATGACTGTATTATTATTTGAATTAATATTGAATACCGATTCAGTAATAATTGCATACATATTAATTTAAGATCTCTTGGTGACTTGATGACCTTGATCTATTCCAAAATCCCCCAGGGCAGATATAGATTCTAGTGATGAGAGTGACATTGAGGAAGACATTGACCAGCCCTCTGCTCACAAGACCAAGCATGACCTGATGATGAAGGGCGAAGGCAGTCGGAAAGGAAGTTTCTTCAAACAAGCAAAAAAGTCTTATCCTATGTTTCCTGCCCCAGAAGAAAGAATTAAATGGGACGAATATGGAGAGATTATCAAGTATGTGAGCAAAACAAACTTCTTTGTTAGTTTCTGAGCACCTCAGCTTGAAAGCTGTGAAGACTTGTGATTTGAAGTGAAATGTCGAAGAGCATCTAGACAGTTAATATCAAGGGAAAATCGATTGTTTTATTACCTGATTGTGTGAAAGGTTTAACAAGACGAGGAAGACTTTTTCTACTACTTGGTAAGATGAGAGAAGAGGTGGTACTTTGGCAGTTGGGTTGTGTTATGTTTGGGAAATGGGCTGCATCTCAACTAGTGCATGTGTTTATGAGCTAATGAGATAAGAGGAATGTGAGACAGCATGTGTAGAACCGTGGGGAGTTTTTTTTTTTTTTTTTTTGGAGTCAGTGTCTCACTCTGTTGTTCAGGCTTGAGTGCATGGCACAATCACAGCTTTGACCTCCTAGGCTCAGGTGATACTTCCCCCTCAGCTTTTCAAGTTGCTGAAGCTACAGGCATGCGCTACACCCGTCTAGTTTTTTTATTTACTTGGCGAGGTCTTGCCAAGTTGCCCAGACTGATCTCCAACCCCTGGGTTCAGGCAGTCCTCTTGCCTTGGCCTCCCAAAGTGCTGGGATTACAGGTGTGAACCCATGCACCCAACTTGAATCCTGGAGAATCTTAACAGATCTGCACCCACTTAGAAAAGCAGCTGAACCATGTGCTGTGCTTGTTGTACCTTTGGAAACACTTCTATCCTCAGGATTCTCCCTGCTTCCCTGTGAATGTCATCCACTGCACATGATGGATGGAGTCTTTCCTGATGGGGTTTCTGTATATTTCAGTTTTTTGTCATCCTCTCTTTGGGATCTCAGCCTTCAGTTTCCTCTAGCTTGATTTTTGTGTCATGCCTTTGCATGTGTTGTTCTGCAGCCCCATTCCGCCTTCCTCTTTCGGGTTTCCAAGTGCTGAATCTGACCTCATAAACTACTGGAAGCTTTCCTACCTCCTGAGAGTCGGGTCCCTCTCTCGTACATTCTTTGTACTTCCATAAAGCTGTCTTGTGCATAGAGTGGGCTCGGGTCATTCCTGGGTTTAATTAGGAAAATTTTATGGTCTGCTTGGCTCTCCAGACAGGTAATGACCCTGTGAGTGAGCTGCCTGTCTGTTGAATGTATGGACAGTGGTCTTTAGAGTCAGTGTTCTCAGCTAAAGATGGGATAAGGATTGCATGAAGTCATGGTAAGGCACTCAGCAAGAGCCCGGCTCATAACAAGCGCGCTATACATGGTTGCCACTGTAACTGTCATCTTGTGGTCACAGTTGGATGTGCTGGGCCCTGATTTGAGTCTGGGGGAAAGAGGCCTGGCTTTCAGAGAACAGCAAGTGGGACACAGACGTCATAGGTGGTTAGGGAGGGGCTGTCAGGGAAGTGTTGTTTTTAAAAAACTTAAACTAGAATAGAGCTCTCTGATATGGGAAGTAAAAATGGGAAGATAGATGTACACTGAAATAAAGATCCAGGCTTCTGATAGTGCTCAGGATTTTGTATCTCAGTCTTGATAATGTGCAGATGAAGCATCATCTATTTTCTTTGGACACAGAGGAAGTAACTGGGGGTCTTAGGGACATCAGAGGAGTTCTGAGGTGAATAAGTATTGGGATTTGGTAAAGGAAACCACAAAAATTGAGAAAAAAGAGTTACCAAAAAAAAAAAAAATACAGGACCTGGTACAGTGACTCATGCCTATAATCCCAGCTACTCTGGAGGCTGAGGCAGGAAGATTGCTTGGGCCCAGGAATTTAAGCAACAAGTGACATAGCAAGACACTGACTTTTTTTAAAAAGCTGAGCATGGTGGCTGGTGCTTGTCATCCCAGTGCTTCTAGAGTTTAAGACTTAAATGTCTCTAGGATTGCTTGAGAGCAGAGTTCGAGACCAGCCTGGGCAATATAGCTAAATCTTATCTCCTGATAGCTACTAAGATCATCTTCTTTTTTATTTTTTTACCTTTTATTTTTTAGTGACAGAATCTTACTCTGTCACCCAGGCTGGAGTGCAGTGGTGTGATCATAGCTCACTACAGCCTTGACCTACTGGGCTCAAGTGATCTTCCCACCTTCAGCCTCCTGAGTAGCTGGGACTACTGGCATACACCGCCATGCCTGACTAATTTTATTATATCTTGTAGAAACAGGACTTTGCTATATTGCCCAAGAGGGTGTCATACTCCTGACCTCAAGCGATCCCCCTGTCTTGGCCTCCCAAAGCATTGGGATTACTGGTGTGAGTTACCATGCCCACCCTGCCACTAAGATCTTATAATGACCTATCTAGGGGCCTTTCACTATTCCATACAGTGTGGTTCAAAGAATACCCTTTAATGGTTATGAAAAGCATAATATATACAGTCATCTGTTAATTGATATTATGAGTTGTGTTGGCTTTGGAACAAATGTATGTTAAAATCTTAAATATGTCCTGAGTTGGACCCTACATCTTTAAAATAAAGAGAAAAAAAAGAACACAAATAAGTGAAAACCTACAATGACAGATAAAAATACTCATTTCAGAAATAAATGATTTAATAAAGTGACTGCCCTGTCTCCCCCCAAAAATCTTAAATATGTGAAGAGTCTAAAAATTATGCCACCTGATAGTTATACATATTAGATAATATTAGCTTGCTTTTAATACTTCTAATTAGAGACTTCTTCTTTAGACCAGAAGATTTCTTAGTGCCAGAGCTTCAAGCTACTGAAGAAGAAAAAAGCAAACTGGAATCCGGTTTAACCAATGGTGACGAAGCCATGGACCAGGACTTGTCTGATGTCCCCACTAAGTGTGTGTCTGCAACAGAATCCATTGAGATAAAGTAAGTGCTTCCATGTCATTCTGAAAAGAGAATGTAATACCTCAGGCCTTTGAATTATGGAGTTTGCAATGTTTCAAAAGTGAAATTTCTGAATATTTTCTAGTAAGCTTGTGCTTATATAATTTAATTTCTTTTTCCATTAAGAGACTTATGAAAAATGGTGGTATGGCATTTCTTTTCATTAATGATATTTGAATGCCAAAGTAATTGAATTAGTGATGGATGAACATTAAGTTATATATTTACATGAAGAAATATTGTTTCTTTCCTTTTTGGTAAGTCTAGGGGGAGGTGAAAGAGACTGGTGCAACTCAGTTTAATTTTTCTGAGTAACTGCTTGTTTCTTAAAATATACTCCTTGACTTAAATGTCTATAGTATCCTAATGTTCAGAAAATACTACTGTGTATTTAAGAAACCTTCCCCCCTTTTTACTTAGTACAGTTAATAATACCAGCCAATGATCATTTCAAATTTTTTTTAAGTCATCAGAGAACAAAGTGGTTTATTTGTTCAGTAATGATATTCAGTATATTCAGGTATAGATGAGATCTAAATAATACACATTAACAATATAACGTGTATTTCTCAAAGTCTAGTTTTATATATTGTATCCATTTATTTCATGATAATAAAAGCCATTTTTTAGAATAACTTGTCAAAAAAAGTCATCTTGAATAATCATGTCTAATTACAGAGCCAGGGTTACTTACATAGACTATGAAGGACGCTCTGATGGAGATTCCATTAAAAAAATCATTAATCAGATGAAACCACGGCAGCTGATCATTGTCCATGGCCCACCAGAGGCCAGTCAAGATTTGGCAGAGTGCTGCCGTGCATTCGGTGGGAAGGATATCAAGGTGTATGTGCCAAAGCTGCACGAAACAGTGGATGCCACAAGCGAGACACACATATACCAGGTAAACTTCCAGCGGTCAGCCTGTGGAGCAGCATGCACTCTAGCTCAAGTTAGGACAAAGACAAAGGAGACAGCATGGATCACACTGGCGTACCTCTGAGAGTATTGAGCAATTAGGGATTAGAAAAGTCTTTTTGGGGGAGTTGATGAGCAGGCTGAATCCCGACAGATGTTCAGGTAGTTGTCAGGACAGACAGAGGACAGCGGGGCAGGGAGCTCCAGGCAGAGGCGAGGGGAATGACGAGTGTCTAGGGATTCTAAGTCTTAGTTTTAGAGAATTCCCAGATTCCAAGCTTCTGTTCCTGATAAGGGTTGGGGGGAGGGAGTGGCAGCTGCAGTATGTAGGTCTTGCGCAGTGCAAGGAGTGACATCTGTGTCTGGAGGAGGTGAATGGGAACTTATCCTGAGCAGAGCAAGAGAAAGCAGCATCCCAAGCACATGGAGGTGTGAAACTGTGGACTGTCCAGGACAGTCACAGCATAGCAGCAGTGTGCGAAGGTGGGCTTGTCAGTACTCCTCGGCTTCAACTGCCTATGGGCATCACCTGGAGTCTTGCAGGTGGTCTTTTTTTTTTTAAAAGCAGGATTTATTGAGAAGACAGAAAAGCTCCCACAGTTGGAGGGGACCCAAGGGGGTTGCCCGCAGGTAGTCTTAATTGCACCAGATGCTAGAGCCAAGGCCCTGGCAGGGACTGCTTCAAATGGCCATGTGATTCCAGTGTGTGGTCAGAGCTAGGTCTCTCTGCTTCAGAGGTATATGGACTGAGTGATTGCACAGGTGCTGAGGACATCATAGGGCCTTGACGGCCTCAGACAAGTGGAGGGTCTTCTCACCTGAGTCTATCACCACAGTTAGTGACCATGGGTCTTGTGCACATGTTAATCTGTGCTTGTCTCCCCTCCTCCCTTGGCATCCAGGTGAGACTGAAAGACTCACTTGTCAGCTCCCTTCAATTCTGCAAAGCAAAGGATGCCGAACTGGCATGGATTGATGGTGTCCTTGACATGCGGGTCTCCAAGGTGGACACGGGGGTCATCTTAGAAGAGGGAGAGTTGAAGGACGATGGAGAGGACTCTGAGATGCAGGTGGATGCCCCTTCTGACGCCAGTGCCATCGCACAGCAGAAGGCCATGAAGAGCCTGTTTGGGGATGATGAGAAAGAAGCATGCGAGGAGAGTGAGGTCATCCCCACCCTGGAACCCCTGCCACCACACGAGGTGAGGGCCATGGCCTTCCCAGCTTCCTGAACCTGTCGGCTGGCCAGAGTCATGCTTTGTTTTTGCAGAACTGCGTGGGCCTGTGGAATCCATTATGCTTCTAACCATTTAAGATGTGTGTCATGGGAAGGCTGAGTTCAAGCTCTGTGTGTGTGTGTGTGTGTGTGTGTGTGTGTGTGTGTGTGTGTGTGTGTGTGTGTGTGTGTGTGTGTGTTCTGTGCAGCTTGGGAGCGGCAGCAGTTGGAGGAAGCCAATGGGAGTCTTTTCTGAGGCTCACCCTGGCCTCATGGTTGGTGTGTCCAGCGTGGCTTTTGTATGTTGGGTTGATGGTGGGAAGAGCGGGTGAGCTTCCAACCAGGAGGCTTATTGGTCCTCTCGCCCTCCATTGTTACATGTCAGTTCACATCAGCTCTGTTTTGGTTTTGACAGGTAGAAATCTTTTATTTAATATAGATGTAATTCTAGTCTGGTATTTACATGTTCTCTAGAGGCATCTAGTTAATTAGCAAAGATTCCAAGTAATCAGAGAAATCTCACAGCTATGGGAGTCCCGCTCGTGTGTCATGGGCTGTCTTCAGCTCTGTGTGAAGTTAAACCTGAGACAGCCCATGTGCTAGACGCCCTTCTCATACTGCTCTCGAAGTCAGGAGGAGGAAGCGAGAGAATCTACATGTCCCTTTGTGCTGATGCTCTTTAGGTGACTTCACAGCAGCAGGTGGGGCAAGAACCACGGTCCCTACTGGGGGGAAACCCAGGTGCCCGTTGCCTTTGCCCTGAGCAAGGAGGACCGTGGAAGGACCTGACTTCTGAATAAGGAAAGGCCCGGGACCTGGAGGGTGGATTTTTGGTTCACTTCTGCCTGCTGGCACTGTGGCTAACCCCTTAGGCAGGTGAGTAAGTAAGGAGCTAACACATCTCTGTTCTGAGACATGACTGTGAATGTGGCTTGTGAGGCATACAGAAGACATGAAGGACTTTGTAATGTTTAATAATGGGTAAACTCAGGGTGACTCTTCGGAGGTGACTTAGAGTCTTAAAATGATCTGTCCCAGATGTCCTATGGTGTATTGCATTAGTCAGCACAACTGCGTGTCTGGTGCTTTACTTAAAGTTATTCTTTCACCTTCAACCTTCTCCAAGGTTCCTGGACATCAGTCAGTTTTTATGAATGAACCGAGGTTATCAGACTTCAAGCAAGTTCTTTTGCGAGAAGGGATTCAGGCTGAATTTGTGGGAGGTGTTCTTGTTTGCAACAATCAAGTTGCCGTGCGCAGAGTAAGTGTGTTTTTAACAAGGACTGACTTGAACACATACTTCTGATGTGTTGTCATTTTGAAATTCTGTAATTCTTGATTGGTAATTTCACAAAACTGAAGATCAGTAATTTATATTAATAATGGTGGCCTCTCAAAGAAATGATACGTAATTTTATTGTAAGTTTGCCTTAGTTGACATTCATGTGTCTGTATAAAATTAATGACTTTAATTTTAGATCCATATTCTGTGAGCCAGAGCAACCCATTTCCTAACCAGTGGTAAAGCAATCTATTTCATATATTTTGGCTATTATATCTGCATATAATGAATAGAAAATGTACTAAAGAATTTTTTTTAATTTGGTTTCTAGACGGAAACTGGACGCATCGGATTAGAAGGCTGCCTTTGTCAAGACTTTTATAGAATACGAGATCTTTTATATGAACAGTACGCCATTGTATAAAGGACTTGGTGTCAAGGAGTGTCTGCTTGACCTTTCCAGAGAAAGGGTTCTTATCTTATTCTAAGCTTCTGCTGTTTTGTTTTATAACATACAAAAAATCTGCCAGGAAAACTTACATGGTTTAGATTTTTTTAAATGTAAATAGAGAACATTTTATGGATGCTCTAATGAGCCTTCTGTCCTCTGGCTTTCCAAGGGGTAGCCATGCCCAAGGGTTGACAGTGATGGTTTCCTTTCCACACCCCTTATTCTAGAAGGGATTTTCACTTGAATAAAATAATGCAGCTTAGCAAACCAGTTCATGGCCTTAGAGAAACACGTTTGCATGAGTTCTTACAAACTGTTTCTTACACTTTCTGGAATGAAAAGTGAGAATTATTTTGAAGAGATGAGTGACAAAAAACAAAACTGATAAAACAGTTTTTTGAAGCTTGTGTATTTAAAAAACAAAGCAAATGTGCTATGATTCTTCTTTCAACTTGACTATGCAGTTATTTTCACATGGAGCTTATCTGTTTCACGCCTGCGTTTTCCAGTGATTCACTCTACTATAAGGAGGACATGTTTGGTTCAGCAGTCAATTTCTGTTTCTTTTGTTTCTTGATTTATCAAGGTTTTGTTGTTGCTTTTCTATTTGAATTATAAAACCATCATTTGAATATCCATGTTTCAAAAGAACTCTTTGATGTGTTACTGTCCTAAGGGTTCTGCATACCTTAGGTATGTCTTAGCCATCAGCATGTTACTGCATTGGAAGCTGTTTAATGCTGTGTTTTGAAGAAAACAAAGTCTGAGCCTCACACTTGTTAAATTAAGAGTCTTGGGTGTTGTCATCTTTTCAATGTGCTTTCCTGTGGTCACCCTAGCAGGGGCTGAGTTTTATACACATTGCTGCTAAAGCCACATTGAGGTTGGGTAAAGTTCTCCTTTCCGTGCGCATGTCTTTCTTGAGGGTAACCACCCTGATAGAGTGTAAACAATTTTGTGTCCAAGAGTAAAAACAATACTTGGAATTTTCATTGAACTTAAGCAATGAAAACTGTGTTGTTCCATTGTAATATGTTGGTGCTTTGTCAGAAAGTAGCTTAATCATGGCAGACCTTGATGCTTATTTCTCAAGTATTTAAGCCCTCCTTTTACTTTTTTTATTTTTTGTAGATACAGGGTCTTGCTGTGTTGCCGAGGCAGGTCTCAAACTCCTAGGCTTATGCAGTCTTCCTGCCCTGGCCTCCCAAAGTGTTAGGATTACAGGTGTGAGCCACCACGCCCAACCAAGCTCTCCTTTTTATCTTTAGCATTTTCACAAGGGTCATCTTGTTTCACTTATATGGAACTATATGTATAACAACTCAGTGATATCAGACTAGAGTTACTAATTTTATTCTAGTCCTAGTACTTAGAAAGCTTCTATTGTGAATTGTAGTGCTAATACAAAATTTATAGCCTTTTGATACTGAAAACCAGATATACAAAACAGTGTACAAAAGATGAATATAGAGAGTATGTGTTTTTAGTGCTTTGAAAATCTTTCACTTAAACTCTTATAACTGTGTAGAGTAAGCCCATAATCTTATTTACAGTCCAAGGGAAGGTAATCTGCATTTCCTTCATGATTTAAAGCATCTGGTTATACACATTACATGATAATTTCAGTGTTAAGAATTGTTTCTTGCCTAGCCTTTTTATTGTCCTGTGAACAGGAATGAGATCTTTTTGTTTGTTGGTTGGTTTTTTTGGGGTTTTTTAGTGATGGAGTCTCACGCAGTCACCCAGACTGGAGTGCAGTGGCACACTCCCGGCCACCACAGCCTCGACCTGCTGGACTCCAGCAATCCTTCCACCTCAGCCTTGCAAGTAGCTGGAACTACAGGCGTGTGCTACCTCGCCCGGCTAACTTTTTTGATTTATTGTAGAGATGGGGTCTCGCCAAGTTGCCCAGGCGGGTCTCGAACCCGCAAGCTCAGGCAATCCACTCACCTTGGCCTCCCAAAGTGTGGGATTACAGGCTGAGCCACCGAGCCCGGCAGGAATTAAATCTTAAAAGCACTGCTTAAGGACAGTCATGCTTAGCAATAGCATTGCAAGAGCCGTATTTTTACCTGTTTCTAGATGACATCATTACTAAAATTTCTAAAATGAAGACTTTTGTTATAACTTCAGTTACTTATGAAAAACATAAATTTAAAAAATAACTATGAGCTAAATCATGAATTGGGAGGAACTTTCAGACCTTTATTATTTAGAAACAAGAATAAGCACATGTGGGTTATCAGCTGATACCTACAAATAATTTGGTTAAAAAGAAAATTTTTATTTTAGTATTTGTTGCAGTGGAATTATAAATGTCAAATATTATTGCAAAAATTTCTATATTTTTATGAGTCTATAGGTGACCTGAAACAAGTAATGAAATCTGTTTTCTAAGGTGGGCCATTTACCATTAAAAAAAAAAGTTCAAGGCTGATTTACATACCACAGAAGTCACTCTTGAAGTGTGTAATTCACGGTGTGGTGTGTTCACCGAGTGCAACTGTCACTGCTGTATCAACCAGAGCATCTTAATCATCCTGAAGGAAGCTTCATCCATCAGTGGTCAGTCCCGTTTCCCTCCGTGTAGTCTCTGGTAGTCATTAATTCACCTTCTACCTCTTCTCAGCATTTCATAAAAATGGAGCCATACCATCTTTTCTTTCTGGCATCTTTTCGTGAGTGTAATGTCTTCAGAGTCATGGATGCTGTATGGGTGTCAGTGCCCTTTTTGTGCTAAGTGATGTCCCGTTGAATGGCTGTGCTACATTTTATTCCCTTCTTCCACTGGTGGACATTTGGTTGTTTTCAGTTTTTGGCTATTCCGAAGAATGCTGCTCTGAATGTCATGTATGTTTTTTTGGTATGGACATGTTTCAGTGTTCTGGGGAGTGTACCTGAGAGTGAGTTGTTGGGTCATGTGATGACTCTGCTCAGCCTTTTGAGGAGCCACCAGGCTCTTTTCCAAAGTGGTTGCACCATTTCACAAACCCACCAGCATATGTTTGATGGTCCCGTTTTCTCACTGTCCTTGGCAACACTGATTACTCTCTGTCTTTTTTGTTTTACTTATCCTAGTGTGTGGGAAGAGTATTTCATTGAAGTTTTGATTTGCATTTCCTAATGACTAGTGATGTTGAGCATCTTCTCATGTGCTTATTGTGCTTACTGGCTATTTGTATATTTTCTTTGGAGTAATGCCATTCAGATCTTTTGTCCAGTTTTTATTTTTATTTTTGAGTCAGACTCTCACTCTGTCCCAACTGGAGTGCAGTGGCACAATCATGACTCACAGCAGCCTCGACCTCCTGGACTCAGGCAAACCTTCAACCTCAGCCTGCAGAATAGCTGAGAGTACATCACCACACTCGGGTAATTTTTTTAACTTTTTTAGTGGAGGTGAGGTTTTGCTATATTGCCTAGGCGACTGATCTTGAACTCCTGAGTTCAAGTGATCCTCCTGCCTCGGCTTCCCAAAATGTTGAGATTACAGGTGTGAGCCACTGCCCCCCGCCATGTCCATTTTTAATTTTTATGTTTTTTAACTGCTGAATTGTAAGAGTCTTTTAAACATATATTCTGGGTACTAAACCATTATATATGATTTGCAAATACCTTACCCCATTCTGTGGCTTATCTTTTTACTTTTTTTTTTTTTGGAGACGATGATCTCACTCTTACATGGGCTGGAGTGCAGTGGTACAACCCTGGCTCACTGCAACCTTGACCTCCTGGGTTCAAACAGTCCTCCCTCTGCAGCTTCCCAAGTAGCTGGGACAGTAGGCGCATGTCACCATACTTGGCTAATTTTATTTTATTTTTTTGTAGGGACAGTGTCGTACTTTATTGCCCAGGCTGGTTTTGATTGAACTTGGGTTCAAGGGATTCTCCTGCCTTGGCCTCTCAGCCTGGGCAACAGCGTGAGACCCTGACTCAAAAAACAAAACAGGAAAAAGCAGATGTTCCAGTTTACATGGTACCTTGGTAATGGTGAAATCAGCATGGGCTCTGAAGGTTTCCACTTGGAATGGAACTGTGTGGTCTTGGGTTTCTGTTTTGCACTTGTTTATTTTGTTGAAATGTTTTCCTCATTACTTTCTACTTTGTAGTTAATCCATGTATGTGACATTTAGGCAAGTATCGGGCAAAACAATGATCGCTGTGGAGCGGAGTTAGTGGAGGAACGTATGGGACAGAAGGAGGTGCCCACCTGGTCTGCAGAGGCAGTGGTATGGCGAGTGTAGCTGTCTCTGTCTGGAATGCTCTCTAAGCCATAACACATCAGCAAGGATCTCAAGGAGTGTGTTGATAGTGTTTTGTAACTGTCCGTGTGGAAACCCTGCCTTTCAATTTATCACTTGGCTCATCCGCCCCCAACCCCACCCACCCCAGCTCTGAAGCTTTAGGAGTGTCAGGACCAGGTTCACTCTGAATGCTGTGCTGTACTCTTATTAAACAGTCAGTTATTCTTCAGTCTTCACAGAGTGTAGTGGGAGGAATAATATCAGGCCCCTGGACAAGTGATGCTTTGGAAAGCTCAGGATGGAGCCAGTTACATAACATGTGTAGGCAACTGTATCGTAACTATTAGAACTTGTTCCTACCTGCAGGAAAATGAAGTCTGGCCATAATATTTCCATTTTCGAGGCTTGGTTCACCTGCTGGGAGTGATTGCTCAAGAGCCCTTTTGCTGAAGATTAACTGAGCCCTTAAGCAAGAGCAACTATCGCTGAGTATTTTCTACATACCCAGTGTTTGCTAAGCAGTCTCATTTATTTTTGGTTTCTTTTCCAATTAAGCAGTCTCATTTAATCATAGTGTCTGTGGGCTATGGGGGCACTATTATCATCCCCACTTACAGATGAGGACTGAGGCTTGGAGTCCATCACTAGTCCTCCCGTTCTCACACAGGAAAGGCATTCCTTCATGGAGTGGTTTTGACATGTTACCAGTTAGAGTTCTTCCGTTTTGAGCAAAAGCAGCTGTCCCTCAGGACGAAAGGCAGCCCCAGGTAGCTCCAGGCTTCAGGCAGCAGGCCTGGCCATCTTCATGGTATTGCCAAGAGAACTTGGTCCCTCCACAGTGGTGTCATGAGGAATCCCTCCCTGGCTTTGGAAGGACATGCACCTTGTTGGTCTCAGATCAGCCCTGCTGAGAGAACTCTCCTGTGCATTCAGGGGGCTGTGACCACAGGCAGAAGTGTACATGCAGGCAGCAGAGACATACAAGGTACCCGCTTCAGACACCCTGGTTGGGAGCCTGGGCTCTGAGTCAGGGCTTCAGTGCCAAAGGTTGCCGCTGTCTGTGAGGACTGGGCGGGTTGCTTTACATCTTAGCACTTGGAACCCTTACTAGGCCTTGTGAGGGTAAGGCATGAGCCACACCAAATACTTGGAGTATGTGGACCCTGGAAGCACCTTTACAATCATCAAGTGCCACATCGCCCTGTTCTATCCTTATGGCAACCCCAAAGGCTAGATGTCACCTCCGTTTTTACAGTTTAAAGAAACTTGCCTGGGGAGGGGGTGCTCCCAATGCCTTTTTCAGTCACACAGCTGATCACTGGGGAGTCAGTACTTTTACCATGCCACGTGATTTATTAAAAAGTGTTCTAGTATTTATCCTTTTGGCTTCTA